ATTCGTCGACCGTGCCTTGTCTATTAATAGAACATAATTACGATCTCGTCACTTGGGTAAACAAAGTTTTTTGTCTGCGGAGAATATCCCAGACAAAACCAGTAAAAAAATTCTTAAAATCGGGCGGGGTCGACTTTATGATACCCTACACCACTTTGCTAATTTAGTAGAGCTGCGTGTAACAATTAAAAGTTTTTATGGGAGAATTCAATCATTCACGCTATGATTATAATTATTATTTAAAGTTCAAAGGACAAAATATGCCGAAGCATTTGTATCTTTTAAATTCGGACTTGTATTACCCATTTGGTGAACAATTAACTAGAAATCGGATAAAGATATATATGAGAGCTATATTCAAATCGGAACCGATCTCGATAAAATTTGGCAAAGATATTTCTGAGCTGTATTTGATATATTTCCCTGAAAATCGTCGTTACGGAGTGCATATTACAGCTGTGGGTAACAAATATGACAAATCGGATGAACAGTATATATGGGAGCTATAGCTATATTCACCAAATTTGACATACTAGCTTCTAGACTCAATTCGGTCGTAAGTGCCAAATTTCATCCATTTTGGACAAATATGAGACGTTTGGTACACAATCAAATGTAAATCGGACGACGTTATATATGGGAGCTATATCCAAATCTGAACTGATCTCGAAAAATATTAACATATATATTTCTGAGCTGTATTTGATATATTTCCCCAAATATTGTTGTTACAGAATGCATATTACGGCAGCGGGGGACCAAAATAACAAATCGGATGGACAATATATATGGGAGCTATAGCTATGACTGAACCGATTTCGATCAAATTTGGCATACTTATTTTCAGGTCCAATCTGATCGTACGTGCAAAATTCCATACTATTCGGGCTAATATTACACGTTCGGTGTACAATAAAAGGCAAATCGGACGAAAATATATATGGTAGCTATATCTAAATTTTGACCGATTATCTCCAATTTCAATAGGGTTTGTCCTTGGGCCAAACAAAAGATTTGTGCAAAATTTCATTTGGATAGGGCAATAAATGCGAACTGTACTTTGTTTACAAAAATACATGGTCTGACGGACGGACATGCATAAATCGACTCAGAATGTGATTCTATGCAGATCATCGAAAGGAACTATGGGTCTATCTCGTTTTCTTTTGCCTGTTACAAACAAATGCACAAAGATATAATACCCTGACCACCTTGTGGTGTAGGGTATAAAAACAAGGGAACTGATGAGGAGTGGTGGCGTTGTTTTCATAAAAACAACAATAATGGGATTAAGCCTGACCACTTTGCTACAACAAAATTAAAAAAAAAAGTAAAAATTATGGAGTTTGGCTTTGTTGCATCTCATCTCACCCTGTATATTGAACATTTTATGCGAAGAAATTTCCTACTCAAAATTGACAAATTGTGACCAATACCCCATAAAAAGCTGAAATCAGTTCTTTAAACCCAAATTGGAAACATCTAAAAAATACCTAAAATCGGGGTATACTCTTATATGGAGGTTATAACAAAACGTGGACCTGCATAACCCATATTTCGTGCAAATGATTCTGTATCAATTTAAAAAGGTACCTGCGATTTAGGTATCTTAAAGGTTTCGGAAGATATGAATCCTTTTTTTTTTTTCTAAATGTTCAGTTAGCTCTACTTTGACCACGATCTAAAAATATATAAACTCGAGTTTTCCAGATATATTTAAAATTCCCTACAATTTGGTATATTTTCAATGAACCTATTTAATTTAGTTAAAACTTTCCTTTTAAAATAGACCACACAATCATACTCACATTGGCACACATTTATGTTATTCTTCTTTCTTTGGGCACATAATTCAAATATTACATTCACATTTGCGTTTTTCGAATGTCAACACCAATTCCAGGATAGCAAACACCATTGGGCTGGCTGTGCCTTCCTGTGTATGTGTGTGAGGAAGGAAGAAGAAAATGTAAAAATACGACAATGCTCAGCATGTTGTAAGTTATAACCACCGATTACAGAATGCCAACACTTTTTGCTGGTTCTTTTTCGTTCTTATTTCACAATTTCTTCGTCTTCGTTCTCGGTTTTTGCAAACTGATACCCTATTTCGCACCTTCAAAAAGGCATAATCAATGTATGAGTGTGCGAGAGTGTCTGTGAAATTTCCTTTTGTCGCATCTCATGAAAAATGACAGCAGTATCTGTTGCAAAAAAGAAGCAGAAAAAAACCGAAAAGAATGGAAAGGAAAAGGATTGTACTTCGACATATTGAAAAGTACCTCAAAACAAAGTTCTTGCCATTTCCCTTTGCCTTTGGGAGGGATGGAAGAAAACGCCAGATGTGTGCAAATATCACTCATTCGTTCATTCATTGCCATATTCATTCGTTTTACTCTCCATGTGCTTGTTGGAATGCCTTAAGGATCTAAAAGCAACACATGCCACCACATCAGTGCCGCACATCCAACCAAACCAGCTTGTTCATGTGTAATTGTTTTACCTGCCACATATTCTTATTGCTGCCTGTGCTTTTTTCGTTCCCCGTAGGGTAGAAAAAGTTTTGAACAGTCGAGGAGAAAAGTTAAAAGGCAATGTTTTTGTCTTTCTGTGGAAAGATCCTTGCGCCTTCTATAAAAGCAACTTTTACTCTTCTTTGTCCTGTAAGAGAAGACCCTTTGATCTTTATGAGAAGACTTCTTGATCTCTATGAGAAGACCCCTTGATCTTTATGAGAAGACCCCTTGGGTGATTTGTGAGTAGACCCCTTAGTCTTCTATGAGAAGATACTTTGGTCTTCTATGAGAAGACCTTTTGTTCTTTGATGAAATGAACTTCTGTTCTTCAATCAGATGACTCGTCTTCCTTCTATGAGAACACCATTCGGTTATGTACGAGACACCCTTCTCTGATGACACCCTTTTTAAAAGAGAAAATCAGGTGGTCTTCTGTGCAAAAACACACTTGGTCTTTGATGAAAAGAACCGTGGTTCCCGGGGTCGGAGTGTACCATTCGCCTTCTATGGGAAGAACCTTTGGCCTTTTATAAAAAGGCCATTTGGATCTCTAATGAGAAGACCCTTTGGTCCCCGAGGACATTTGGTCTTCGATGAGAAATAAGCAACTTTTACTCTTCTTTGTCCTGTAAGAGAAGACCCTTTGATGTTTATGAGAAGACCCCTTGATCTTTATGAGAAGACCCCTTGGGTGATTTCTGATTAGACCCTTTAGTCTTCTATGAGAAGATACTTTGGTCTTCTATGAGAAGACCTTTTGTTCTTTGATGAAATGAACTTCTGTTCTTCAATCAGATGACTCGTCATCCTTCTATGAGAACACCATTCGGTTATGTACGAGAAGATCCCCTTTTCTCTGATGACACCCTTTTTAAAAGAGAAAATCAGGTGGTCTTCTATGAAAAGACACACTTGGTCTTTGATGAAAAGAACCATGGGTCCCTGGGTCGGAGTATACCTTTTGACCTTCTGTGAGAACTCCCTTTGGACTTTCATGAGAAGACCTTTCGCCTTCTATAGGAAGAACCTTTGGTCTTTTATAAAAAGGCCCGTTGGGTCTCTAATGAGAAGACCCTTTGGTCCCCGAGGACATTTGGTCTTCGATGAGAAATAAGCAACTTTTACTCTTCTTTGTCCTGTAAGAGAAGACCCTTTGATGTTTATGAGAAGACCCCTTGATCTTCATGAGAAGACCCCTTGGGTGATTTCTGATTAGACCCTTTAGTCTTCTATGAGAAGATACTTTGGTCTTCTATGAGAAGACATTTTGGTCTTTGATGAAACGAACTTCTGTTCTTCAAACAGATGACTCGTCATCCTTCTATGAGAACACCATTCGGTTATGTACGAGAAGATCCCCTTTTCTCTGATGACACCCTTTTTAAAAGAGAAAATCAGGTGGTCTTCTATGAAAAGACACACTTGGTCTTTGATGAAAAGAACCATGGGTCCCTGGGTCGGAGTATACCTTTTGACCTTCTGTGAGAACTCCCTTTGGACTTTCATGAGAAGACCTTTCGCCTTCTATAGGAAGAACCTTTGGTCTTTTATAAAAAGGCCCGTTGGGTCTCTAATGAGAAGACCCTTTGGTCCCCGAGGACATTTGGACTTCGATGAGAAAACCCTTTGATTTTTAATGATTTGGCTCTTTGGGTCTCTAATAAGAAGACCCTTTGGTCCCCGAGGACATTTGGTCTTCGATGAGAAAATCCTTTGATTTTTAATGATTTGGCTGTTGTATTTTAAGAGAATAACTTCTGGTGTTCTGTGAGAACATGCTTTGGTTTTCAATGAGTAGACTCTTTGGTCTTTCATGGAAAGACCCCTTGGGTGTTTATAAGAAGAACCTTCGGCCCTCGATGAGAAAACCCTTTGGTCTTCAATGAGAGGACGCTTTGGTCTTCAATGAGAGGACCCTTTGGTCTTTTGTGAGAATTACCATTGGTCTTCCATATGAAGACCCTTTGGATCTATCTGTTGACCCATGGATCTCTAATAAGAAGACCCTTTGGTCCACAATGAGAATATCCCTTGGTCTTCTTTGAGAAGACTATTTTGGTTCCATCGAGAAACCCTTATGCGAAGAGCCCTAGTTCTTCGATTAGGAGACCTTTTTCAAGAGAAGATCAGGTGATCAAATCTATGAGAAGAACCTTTGGCCTTTTATGAGAAGATTTTTTGGTGTTATAAGAGCCTTTTGGTCTTCTATGAGAAGACCGTATGCTCTTCTTGGATGAGACAATTTGCAATTCAATAAAACACTATTTAACTCTTAAGAGAGGAGAATTTGATAATGAAATACATATGAAACTTCAACTTTTGGCCCCAACTGTTGTCGATAACATTTTATGACTAACTAACTCGTATAACGCCATCGATGTGGTTGATTGTTCATTGGCGTTTCTTGTTTTTATGATTTCCTGTAACACTTTTTTTCTCACATTTGTTGTTGATGTTGCTGTTTTTGTTGTTTCTTTCCTGCAGGTATTACATGGAGCGTAAGATCTTCCAGCATCTGCTCGAATTGAAATCACTGCAAATACGTTCGAATAAACTTAACGAAGCGGTTTTGGTGAAACGCGCTGTTGACGATTATCACAAATCGTGTGCAGCCTTGGGCGGCGAGACAGGCACCCGGCTGCGACGCTACAATTTCAGTGAATACACCTTTAAGAATTTCGAATTGTTCCTGTATGAAACACTAAAGGCGCTACAAAAACCGGGAACATACAATTTCCAAAATATAAATGAAGTTTATGACGAGGTAAGTAAACGACAAAAGGGAAATGCATTGTTTTTGGCAATTGCGTTTTTTTTTTGTGTTTCTTCTTCATTGGATTCGCTTTAAGGCAATGAATGTTATTTCCGTTTTTATTTTGTATTTACATATGTTTGTATGTGTGCTCTTTCTGCAGGCGGAACGTCGCTTAAGTCCTGATTATAATTCATATGAGAAGGCATTACAGTGCACAACCCGAACTCATCGATGTCTTCATGCTGCCCACGCCTACACGGGCATACCATGTGCCGCATACAGTAAGTATTAAGTTGATCAATTTGGTTAATACCGAGTATGTGTTCGAAGGAAGGAATAAACGTATGGATGAAGTGGAAGTGTGGGGGGGGGGAATAATTTATGCATTGAAATTGGAATTGGATCGATGGGTTGGAGATATGGGGGGATATTGAAGTAATATTGAGAATATTAATGGCAATGGTGTGGAAAGCAAACAAATTTTTGACATAATTTCGTCGTAGACCTCACGTGTAATTGTATTGGAATATTGGTGGATATGGGTTGCCCATATTCGACGGACCCAGAAATGTCACATCGCTTAATGACATACCGCGTTTGAAGCGTCAGTCCGAGCAGATTTTTACCATGAACCAATACACGCCCCGCGAGCGCTCTGAAATAATTGAAATTTACATTCAACAGAAGAAGTCAATTGTGAAAATTCAACGTGCTTTTAAACATTAACAAATTAACACCACTTTCGACTGGTAAGGCTCTTTCTAATCCGAAGAGGCCATATAAAAGTCGACCAAGGCGATCGGTCGAGAATATCGCTGTCGTACGAGCCAGTGTTAAGAGGTCCCCAAGAACATCCCAAAAACGCCGTTCTCAGCAGTTGGGCATGGCTCGGTCCACTTTACAACGGATTATTCGCATTGATTTGCATTTGTTCCCGTACAAAATTCAATTGACGCAAAGAATGTTGCCTGCGGACAAGCCTCGTCAATTGAATGGGCCCAAAGGGCCCAAAGGTCCGTCGAATATGGGCAACCCTGTACAGTGCGTGGCTGGAATTTGACCTTTAAATTTTATAAATCATTGTCATTTCAAAAATTTTGTCTTTTTGGGTTCATCAGCACGATGGAAAAAGCATTTCAAAAAATTAGCGATTTTTAATAGACATTGAAAAAAAAAATAATATATCTAGATTTTCAATAACCCATTGGTAAATAATTTCCAAAAATTCACTTTTTTAAGAAGTTTTTCCACAGCCCATTTGACCATCTATGAGAATACCAGTTGTCCTTCTAAGTGAAGATCATTTGGCCTTATATGAGAAAACCAAATTTTTCTACTATGATAAGTCTATATGTACTTCTATGAGAAGACTTTAATGATCTTCTTTTTCTTCTTCTTGATATGATAATTTTGGATTTTTAAAATAGAATATTTTTTTTTTCTAACACACATGGAGGCCAATTTTTAAATATATTTAAATTAAATAAAATTAAATTTTTTGATAGACCTACAAAATATATACTTCAATAGATCCATGCTTTTGATAGCTGTCTTTAAATCAATTTTTTGTTAACAATTATATATTTTATTTCAAAGATTTAATTTTTTTATAAATCACGAAAGAATATTTTTAAAAGATTTGAATTTTGTATAGAACTTGAAAAAAAAAAAAAAATTAATGATGTCGGGTCGTTAATTCCTTTAAGTATATTTTTATTCACGTTTAATGATTGGCCATGAAGAAATACTTCTACTATTTTAAAAAAATATCCATCTAAAAAAATAAGTTCCATAAAGAAATATCTATAAAAATCTCAATTTAAGGAATGTAATTGAAAAATTGTTTAAAAAATAGGTGGACCTCCCAAAAAAAAAAAAAAAAAAGTTAAAGCACGGTTAATTCAAGCGGACCGACCCCTCCACCATGAGATAAAGAAAACTTAAAAAATAAAATAATCGGTATCAAATATTGGGTCCACTTCCATTCTTTCCATTGAAAATGGTTGGTAAAAAATTATAAAAAAAGCAAAGTCGGTGATACGGGGTTCTACCTAAAAATTGTGGCCAAATTACCAACTATCCGGACATGTTTTATAAATCCACCTTAAAAACATATTTTATAAATCCACGTTTCTCGATAAACTTAAAAAAATATTTAAAAAAAATCCACGTTTCTCGATAAACTTAAAAAAATATTTAAAAAAAAATCCACGTTTCTCGATAAACTTAAAAATTGTTTTAAAAAAAAACCGCATTTCTCGATAAACTTAAAAAAAATGTTTAAAAAAAATCACGTTTCTCGATAAACTTAAAAAAATGTTTTAAAAAATCCACGTTTCTCGATATACTCAAAAAAATGTTTTAAAAAAATCCACGGTTCTCGATAAACTTAAAAAAATGTTTAAAAAAATATAAGTTTCTCGATAAACTTGAAAAATGTTTAAAAAAAAACACGTTTCTCAATAAACTTAAAAAAATTAAAAAAAAAATCCACGTTTATCGATAAACTTAAAAAAATGTTTACAAAAAAATCCACGTTTATCGATAAACTTAAAAAAATGTTTACAAAAAAATCCACGTTTCTCGATAAAATTAAAAAAAATGTTTTAAAAAAAAATCCACGTTTCTCGATAAACTTAAAAAAATGTTTTAAAAAAAATCCACGTTTCTCGATAAACTTAAAAAAATGTTTAAAAAAAAATCCACGTTTCTCGATAAACTTAAAAAAATGTTTTAAAAAGATCCACGTTTCTCGATAAACTTAAAAAATGTTTTAAAAAAAATCCACGTTTCTCGATAAATTTAAAAAAAATGTTTTAAAAAATCCATGTTTCTCGATAAACTTAAAAAAATGTTTTAAAAAAATCCACGTTTCTCGATAAACTTAAATAATGTTTTTTTTTTAAAGATTATTTAAAAAAATATTTTTTAAAAATACACGTTTTTCGTTGAGTTTTTTAAAAATATATTTTTAAATGGGGAAATTTGGTCCGTTCTCGACAATTTTTTTTCGTGCACCGAAAATAAATGTTGGAGAACATATTAAATGTTTGGGAGACTTATATATAAATTTAAATCCATTTGTACGGGAGATATAGCTACATTGGAATCGATTTTAACCAAAATCGGCATATTCTCTTCTAGGCTGAATTCTGTCGTATGTTCCAAAATTCAACTGATTCGGGATGATATTACTCATTTGGTACACAACATACATATATTCATCAGATTTCATGTTTATTGGGAAAAATCCCGATATCTGAGTTTTTTAGGCTATATTTAGTACATTTGAATATTTGTGTACGACTTAAATATAAAATCGTTTTTAATTTAAATCCGACGAAAAAATATATGGGAGCTGTATCTAAATATTGATCAATTTTTATTTATTTCAATAGGGTTTGTCTTTGAACCAAGCAAACGACTTGCTCAGAATTTCATCTCGACAACAGATACGACACGTATTTTGGTTATAAGACTACGTGGATATAAATTGACTAAAATGTGGTAGATCACAAAATCTAGATGGATCACCAGAAGAAAGTATGGATCTATCACGTTTCCTTATTTTTTACATACAAATTTGCAAAGATATAATATCCTATACCATAGCGTGGATTAGGGCATAACCCAGGCATTGTCGAAAATAATATTTTCGGCCATCAATTATTCCAACACCTGAACTGTCATAAGTCCCCCAGGCGAGGAACTAGGACCTGATTTCCCGGCTCTAAATAGCTTATTCTGAGCGTAGCATTTCATACATACAGCATTTCATACATACAGTTAGCTTGTTAGCTAGAGTGGTTTCCAGTGATGGACAGACAGACAGGGTGAATCGACATAGGGTTCGATATTGATAGGATTTTATGTTGATATTTATACGTTGTGGGGACTAAAGTGTTTTTTGTTTTTCGAAGAGTTCGAATATTGTGGGGGCATATACATTTTATTGATTTGTTGGCATAGACATATTCGACTAGACGATCGTATGGTAAAGCGGAGGAAACTCTTTGCAAACCGATTGATGCTCCCTTATTTATTTAATTCTGCATCATTTGATCCATTAAACATCGTCTAATCTTCCAATATAATTTAGCTCCTTTCAGCTCCTTAAGACATTACTTAATTTACATTTGGTGTGACATACCAACACTAAATGGTAATGAAATATATCAAATTTCTTTGACAAATCGTAATATTGAGAAATTCGTAATATTCAAAAATTAATTTCGCGTATCAACGAACTCATTTACGTGTATGTTCATAAACATTCTAGCTTTGATTTTAAATAAAGCAATGAAATCTTTCCGAACAATTTCTATGACGACAAGATTTCAATGGCCTGGAGCACACATATACAGCTGATGTGGGAAAACTTCATAAGTGATAATGCTGCAGTCTTTGACCAACTCAGAAACCCCGATAAACAAACAACTTGACTTCTAGATACATACGACCTTTTCATCTCTTTCTCTCTATCACACACACACACACACAAATGAATGTCAATAACAGCAACAGTCAAGCACTGTCAAAGGCCGAACTTCTAATGTTCCTTCACCTACAATGCAAGAGCACCATTCCCTATCCGAAACATTCTTGAAATCTTTGCTGCTTTGACAAAATTCATTTCAATACTGATGCTGCTGGTGGTGGTGTAGATGACGACGACGATGGTTTTCATGGTGAAGAATTTCGCGTCACCGACAACAAGAGTACGGTATAAGCACGTGGCTATATGGCGGAGAAGAAATGAATGTTGCATACAACCAATATATATGTATACACAGTGAATGCACTGCTGATGGCATTGTCTTAGGAGATAAATGACAATTTCACAAAATGAAAGTGGAATTTAATTTGTGACGTTTATGGTTCTTTGTATGTGAATGTTGTAAAGGATTTGTTGCCATACCGAAACAAACTTTCAAAAAAAAAAAAAAAAAAAAAAAAAAAAAAAAAACACATACACCAACACACACAAACCAAAACACATGTAAGTGCATTGTGTCCCTTGAAATAATGAGAAAGAACACTCCATGAATTCCAACCGAATAAAAAACAGAAAACAGAACAACCCAAAAGAGAACTAAACATTTTATCACTGTCATTACTAGGAGCGAACAAAGTACGAGCTCTAAGTAAACCAGCGTGTGTCATTCGTTGTTTCGGGTTTTTATTAATGGATATTCATTTTGGTGGCATGGATGGCACAGTGATTGACAGTTATCGTAATGAGTTTATTATTGGTATCAAATTTCCATGTCAAAACGGAGAT